CCCCCCCCCCCCCCCCCCCCATTTTTAAGAAGCAGGGCAGGACCCCGGGGGCGCGCGCGCGCTCGGGGCAATATTACCCTTTTATGGAAAACTGTTCCTAAACGGCTGGTCAAAGCTACACCGATCAAGAGGCGGGCGGGGCAGGGGGGCACGTCGATTGAAGAAAATTCGGTGAAATTTTGGGTGGGATCGAATGGGGAAAAATGCACCATTAGAGAGCGGCAAATCTGCACGCGCGTGCAGATTTGCCGTTCTCAAATGGTGTATCTTTCCTTAAGGAATGGGGAGGGCGGGGCGGGGCCGCGGGAAAGCTTCAGGCCCCCGCGCGCGCCCCCCGCTCTGGGGCGCGCCCTTGCGCTCAGTCACAAGCTCCATCTTCTGAGTTTAAAGTGATTTGGGGAGTTCTTATTGCAATCCCAGGCTCCATTCTTGAGTTCAGGGTGTTTCAGGAGTTCTGTTTTACAATCAGGGGCGACACCCATCAGTCTCAATTTGCATCCGAGTTGGAGTTCTGCTTCTTCAAATATAGGGGCGCCCCATCAGTCCAAAGCTCCTTCCTCTGAGTTCAGAGTGATAATGGAGTTCTGGTTTTAAAGCCAAGGCGCTCCATCAGTCCAGGCTCCATCCGCGGAGTTCAAGGTGATAGGAGCGGCACCCCATCAGTCTCAGGTTACATCCTTGGAGTTCAGGATGATAGGAATTCTGATTTTACAATCACGGGCGCTCCCTGATCTCAGGGAATGGAGCCTGGCACCGAATTCAAGTTTCGGCGACTTCGAGAGCCGAATCATATCGGCGCCAGGCATATTTAGGCGTCAGGATCGGGGCAAATCAATCTACGCTTGAGCGACTTCGGGCGCCGAATTTCGGACTCCGCCACATTTTCGGCGCCAGGCTGGGGACAGGCCGAATTTAAGCTTTGACGTTACAAACGCCGAATTTCGGCATCAGGCACATTTTCGGCATCAAGCTGCGGACAGGCCGAATTTAAGTTCCGGCAAATTCGAGCGCCGAATTTTGGTGTCAGGCACAATCTCGGCTTCAGGCTGGGGGCACACCGAATTTTAAGCTTCAGCGAATTCGAGCGACGAATTCGGCGTCAGGCGCATTCTCGGCTTCAGGCTGGAATTTTGTTGTCAGGACCATTTTCGGTTTCACTTGCCGGATGGGATACTGGCGCCGAATTTGAGCGTCAGCCGAATGTCGGCTTCAGCCAGCACCGACCGAAGTTAGGCGCCGAATTTCGGCTTCAGAATTTAAGCTTCAAACCCCACTTCCCCGGGTCCCGGCGTATTGCAAGCAAGAAGTTCATCCGAGCAAATCTGCCAATCCTCCTTGGCAGAAGGTCAACAGCGGCTCAAGACAAAGAGAGTGAGCCCCGCAAGTCGCAGACATGGGTTCATCCGTACCAACAAGGCGGGAGTCTTGCCCGACTGTCCGGTCGCGAAACGGATTTCACGACAATCTTGTCGCCATGCTGTGCAGGAGATCTTGGCAGCCAAGTCACCCGCAGAACTAGGGGGCGTCCTGCAAACCTTCCTTAAGGAAAAACGGACCTTGAACAGTGCCACGGCTGGAATGCAGCGTTGTTGTGGTTGTCTGCAGCTGTAGCACTGTAGCGGCTATGCTTGAGCTCAGTTTTCTCAGGTGTGAATCTCGCGACTATCTTGTACAAAGCCGCGAAGATGGATCCAGAGGAGGCCGCGGCGGCCATGGAAGCATTGAGCAGGACAGAGGCGGCCTTGTTTGTTTCGTTTGGCGGAGGTCTTTTCCGAAGGGCGCCTGAAATTTCTGGCACGCAGCCTCCGGAGCGGGCTCCTGCTCGATGGCCGGCGGCGGGCTTAAGGGCTCCTGCGAAAGGATGGTATACTACAGAGTACAAACCGAGCCAAGCCGCGAACCAAGGCAGCTGGCGAACTCCTTGTATGGTCTGCAGCGCATGCACGAGGCGACGGAGGGCGTGGCGGAGCTTCTCTCGGCGCTGGCTCTTCAGGTGGAAGCAGCCGCCGAGCGGGCGGAGGTGTTGGAGACCCGGGCGCTCAGCAACGCCCTGTACGGCCTCCAGGGCTTCAGCTCCAGCCGGCAGAGAACCGCGCTCCCAGCGCTGCTCCGAGCTCTGGCGAACTGGGCCAAAGCAGCCCAGGCCCAGAACCCTGAGCCTCGCGGCTTCTCCGCCCAGGGGCTCGGCATGGCGCTCTACGGCTTGCAAGGCATCAGCTCTGAAGCGGAGGAGCTGCTCGGGGCCCTGCTTCCCTACGTCCGGGCCTCTCCGCTGGACGGCCAGGCGGTGGGCAACGCCCTGTACGGCCTGCAGAGCCTAAAAAGCAGCGACTCCGAAGGCCTCAAAGGGCCCCCCTTTTTCAAAGTCTAAGTGCGGCCTCCCTTTTGCCTTTCCCTTCTTTGGGGTGGTCTTTTTCGGAGGGGTGACCTCTCTTGCATAAACAGTATCACAAGAAGCCATGAAGTACGTCTGGCGGGGTAGCGAATTTCCAGCACGGAACTCCGCCAATCTCCGCGCCCAGTTGTGCGTCGGCTTCTCGGCGTCTTTGCATCCAAGCTGAAGTCCTTCGACGGCAAACTGACCGAGCAGGATGACAAGGGGTAGCAAGGCTGCTGTCAGGAGTTCACACTCGTAGCCAGGCTCCTCAAGAGCTTCAGCTGCCATCAGCCGCCCTTGTCGGGAGGAGGTGAGCAATGCATTGTACGGCCTTCAGTTCATGGATCCTTCGCTTCCGGAGGTGCCTCGGTTGGGCATTCTGGGTGCAGGGTGCAGGGGTCGGGAAAGGCCCACTGCGGCCCACGGTGTTTCTGTTGTTTGTGGTAAACATCATGTCTGTCTGCATCCTCATCCTCATGACCAGGATCACCACGCTCACTGTGACTTCTTTCCGATGCTTGAGTTGAGTTGGCCCACTCCCCCGGCCCGTTGGCAGCAGGTGGCTGGCGTGGTAGAGGCGCTCGTCGCGGCCAGGCGCACGACAGAGACGTCTCCGAGCCAGCGGCAGCGGCAGCAGCGAAGTCGGCATCCCGTGAACCCTCTGCAACACTCCCAGCCGAGGTGCGACAAAGGGGAAAAAACAGTTGAGGGCAGTGACCAGAGACTCGACTCTATCCTCTGGTCTCGAGGCTTCCGTCGAGCTTCCTGGAGAAGGCCTTCCCGTCCCCGCCAGGAGAAGGGGCGCGGTATTGGCTGGACCTGGGCTGCGACACCGGCTCCTTCGTCCGCGGCGTCGCGCGACGGCACCCGGAGCTGCGCGTCCTCGGCCTGGAGCTTCGAGCCCACGCCGTGGCCTTCGCCAAAGCCAGGGCCCGACAGCAGCGCCTTGAGAACGCCGCCTTCCTCCAGGCCCATGAGGGGAGGAGGAGAGGGGAAGAGAAGGGTAAGAAAAGAGAGATTCGTGGAGACTCCTCTGTGACTCTGTTCTGGGATGCTCTTGGAACAGATGTGCAGGGGAACGCCAACATCGAGTTGGCGGAGTTGCTGAAGCAGCTGAGAGAGAGCGGCGGCCAGGCCTGTCGCTGGGAGACTCCTTCAAGTCGAATATCGAAAGAAAAGCGTATAAACCTTGCGAGTTCTCTGCTCTTTAAAGGTGCAGACGGTGAGCATCAACTTCCCAGACCCACACTTGCTCCCGCCCGATCGAGATCGGCGGGTGGTTCGCGGGTCGCTTGTGGAGCTCCTGGCGCAGCACTTGCCTGCGGAGGCTGAGGCTGACTCTTACAGGAACCCTAGACTCCCTAGGTGGGGCAGAGGACTAGGCCTTGGAGCCTGGGCTTCCAGAACAGCTGCTCACTGCGTCAGTCGCGGTCAGGTCCTCTTCCAGTCCGACCTGGCTCTCTTGGTCGACGAGGCAGCAAGACTCTCCGCAGCGCCTCTGAGATGAGATGAGACTCTCGACTCTCGGAGGCCCGCTCTGCCTTCAGCCTCCACGGCTGCTTTCGGGTCACCCCATGGGTGCGCGAGGAGATGGGAGGGGAAACTTACAGGCGAAGCCTCCATCCGGCACAGGACCTTGTGGCCACTGAGCGGCAGAAGGTCGTGCGGAGAAGAGGGCTGGTTGTGCATAAGGCCAGCGCCTGAGTCGTTTTCTGGCTCGGGCCCAATTCCCTCCAAATGCAGGCACGGCTGGAGCGCTCCCGAGCACTGCCTGCCCACAGCTTGGAGCAGGACGTGGACAAGCTTCTTGAGGAGATGCGGGCCTCTTCCTAAGTCGCGTCTGCAAAGTGACTCCGTGGCGACCTGGGCGATGGGGAGAGAGACGCAAGCCATCGTGTCCGGTATGGCCTCGTCCTTGGCCTGAGACGAAGTGCAGCAGCGCCCTTATTCCGCGGGAGCGTGAAGCTCCAGACTTCCGTTGCGTGCCACGGAGACGGCTCGGCTCTGGGATGCTCTGTGCTGCGTGTGCTCCGTGCTCCGTGCCGTCTGGTGGCTGAGAGGAAGGTGGCCCGGTGGGCCGAAGCTGCCTCATCCGCAAGGACCCGGCAACGCCTGCGCCCGGCAAGCTCAGCTCAAAAAAGGGGGCGCAAGAATGCTCGACAGGGTGCAACACCACATATTTCTGGTCCTCAACTGGCCAGGTTGCAGTGAAGGGGCACGCAGCTATGGGGGCTTTGCAGAGAAGTGACAGGTCTTCTCTCATTTCTGCATGGCGGGATTCTTGAACGGTCGAGCAGCGGCAAGGTCATCCTCCACGGAAAAAGCTAGTCAGCCAGAGATGATTGTTTTTTATCACTACCCGAAAAACCTTAGCTTGCGTGATATGACAATATGAGCGAGAGCGATGGCCTGGAGCGGTCGAAGACACGCGAAGCAGCATCGCATGAGGCCGTCTGCTTCGGGAGACAGTGGTTAGCTGCCACCCTAAACTCTAAACTCTAAACCCTACAGACCCTAGACAAAAGAACCCTAAATTGCTGCTTCGAAGCAGAGGCGATCCAGAGCGTGTCTCTGCGGCGGCGAGAACTGAAGCTCGGAGTCGGGAGCTCGAGGACGCTAAACCCCCCATGGTTTTGCGGATTCGGATTGGCAGTGCCTGCTAAGATCCAGAGGGTAGAGCTACGGCTTTACCGGCGGACTCGCACGTCCTCAGGCGAGCAGATCAGAGCAGCAGCCCAGTTTGAGTGCAGAACATGCGCCTGCTAGAAATTTTCACGAAGCCACCGCACTTTGTCTACATCATCCGCTGTAGCTGGGATGGAGCCGTGGGCTCAGGGCACACAAGATCCAGCTTCATGCAATTCAATGGTCACTGATTGCCATGCCATTTCAGTCGCATTCGGCCTCTCAGCAGTCTCGACCAGCCCCTCCCGACATTTCGCAAGAAGAGAGGGGGAGTATCGACGTGAAATGGGGAGTATCCCCAAGTCCCCCTACTGCTCCCCCTTTGGAGCTGCAGCCTCCGAAGTGCAAACAGAGGAATGGCACCATGGAGAAGCTTAAAAAGTTATGTCGCAGGCACCATGTCGTCGCTAGAACTCCTCGAAGCTCGCTCTCCGTGGCGCTAACACCGGCGGCGCGAACACACCGGGCTTGCGCGAACCGACTCTGCGCCTCTGCGTCTCTGTGCCAAGGAGCAATCGTCCTGCAGGCCCGGGCCCGAGAAAACAAAAGCGCCGAAGAATGGCCCAAGGACCCTCCCCTCCGCAGGTCGCCCCTGTCGCCCCGTGGACCACCGAGGCTCGCGGTAAAAGAGATCGAAGAGCCGACAGCTTAAGCCTTTGCCGCTGTTCGGGTCTGAGCCAGGAGCCAGTCTCCTCGTGGGGAGTCTCCCAGAGGCTTCGAGGAGACTCGCCTTGTTTTTTGGGTGTCCGGTCCGTAGCACCCCCTCAAAAACAGGAGCCGTGGCCCTGGTGGGAAAGCCTGCCGAACTGTCCGGATCCCTGGTGCACGACGACGCAAGAAGACCCACTTTTTTTCTTGGGCCGCGGCCCCCTGCGGCTCGCAAGGCAGACGGCGCTGTGGATTAGGACGGCTGCCACTACTAAACTGCTACTGCTCCTGCTCCTCTTATTCCTACTCTTAATGCTACCCCACGACCACGACCAGACTACGAACGCGATTACGAGTACGACTACGACGACGACGACGACGAGGACGACGACGACGGCGACGACGACGAGCTGCCGCTACTGCCGCTTCTGCCGCTGCTGCCGCTGCTACTGGTACTGCTGCTGATACTGCTGTCACCACCACCACCACAACAACAACAACAACTGTAGGCAACCCTTATCTCCTTGCAGGGGTTGGGTTTACTTTCAGGGTCCGGGAAAGGGCAGGCAACAGAGTCCCCTTCTAGGTTTGGCAAATCAGCCAGCATCTCCATCCAGGGCCTTTTGGGTTCCACCGTTTCTGAATCAACATAGTCTTTCAGGGTGTCGGGTTGCTCGACCAAAATCATCCTCCAGGGAACTTTTGTTCGGCAGACAGCATCTCAGCATCCCCCTTCGGGGACTTGAAATCTCCTTTCAGGGCCGTGGGTTTGTCTCAACCATTTGTTCTTTTAGGACCTTTGGGCTCGGCAACCAACATTTCCTTGTAGGGTTTTGGAAATTGCAGCCAACATTGGTTTCGCTCGCAACATCTGGTTTAAGGGGTTTACGTGCGGCCACCCACATCTCCTTTCGGGGTTTCGTGTTTTGCAACCAACACCAGCGTCTCTCTTTTTCGGGGTTTTTTCGGGTTTCCCAGCCAACATCTTCCTTTAGGGTGTTGGGTTTTTAACCACAGCAACTCCTTCCAGGGTTCAGCAACATCTCCTTGCACGGTTCTGGGGTGTTTGCAAGCAGCATCTCCTTTAGGTTATGGGGTTTTGCGAGCAACATCTCCGTTTAGGGTTGAGGGTTTGGCAACCACTGTCTCCTTGTTAGGTTTGGGTTCGGCAGCCATCTTCTCGTGTTGGGGTTAACAGGGTGTGTCAAGCAAACCGACATCTTCTTTTTAGGTCTAGGGGTTTCTCAAGCAACATGTCCTCTTGGGGTTTGGGCGTGGCAGCAATCATCTCCTGGTAGCGGTAGCGTTCCGGAAATGGCAAGCAGCATCTCTCAATCAGCATATTATCCTTTGCGCGAACTCTGAACATGCTCAAGGGTTCAAGGCATGAGAGACCATTATCCTTTGCGGGCTTTGGGTTTCTGAATCATCTCCTTAGGGCTTGAGCTGCGGCCGGTGGCACGGCATTCGGACACAAAAACGACCTGTAGCCAACTACGCAAGTGAGAAGTTGTCATGTCCGAGGCTACACCGTTCGAAGGAGGTGGCACGAGATCGTCAGGTCGTGGCTGAGTGCACATTCAGTCGATAAGATCCACCAGCCGACCCTGCGCAGGTTCCATGACGCCTTGAAGCACGAGCTTGCCAACGATCCGGTTCTAGGTTGCAGACGCGTGAAGGCCCTCCAGAATGACCCTTTTTCCCCTTTGGCTCGCTAGCCCTTCATCTCGCAGGCCAAGCTTCCGGCGACTCGGGCATGCTTTTCAAGCTGAAAGGTGTAGTGAGTGTAGTGCCAGAGGATTTGGGGACTGGGGTCTCCGTTGTGGCAGGTTCTCCCCGACCCTGCGGATGTGGACAGGCCTGAAACACACTTCGGATCCTATCGCTTCGATTCCGGACGTTGTCCCAGTTGGCTTAAGACCTATGCGGCTACGAACGATGCATGTGCTCGGGGTCTCAGCAGAAGATCCTTGACGAGATCGGACCCATGGTGGATTACACGGAGGGAGCCTTTCTCTCAGGCTTTGGGTCGCTCCGCCGTCGAAGTGCAGAGAAAGGCGGCTTGCCTGCCGGGGTTTGGGCAGTGAGAATGCATGTCTAAGCTACTGTAGACGTCTTGAGGCTTCTTTTTGTGGGACTTGCGAGGGAAGCCTCCGTCGTAGCTGGTGTCCGAGGAGCTGGCACCCTGCTTCCACGAGCTGGGGGATCTGCACTGGCAAGGGACCCAGGCAGCTCCCGGAGCTTCGTGCTGTCCTTCGAAAAAAGCGTCTGAGGATGTACTGCCACAATCGGCTTGTGCCCTATTTCAGCGAAGCCAGCAAGGTCCGGCGGTTTTTTGGGAGGGGGAGCCCTTGCCACAGAGCCCGCCCAGCCAGGTCCTGGAAGAGCTCCCCACGGAGGCGCCAGAAACGAAAAAAGGAGTATTCGCGCGGAGAGGTTCCCCTTCCCTCTCCGAGGTGTTGGCCTCCTCCCGGTCTCTGCGCCGCTTCGTTACCGGAGGCGTTGGCCGGACGCCGCCCTCGGCAGGTGGCTTAGTCACAAAGGGCAAGTCTGAGATCTCAGATCTTCAGGAGTCAAGTTCGGGCGGCCTTTTCGCTTGAGGCACTTCCGGTGCCTTCCCGGTTTCTCGGAAAAGGCCCAGCCTTCCCGGACACCGAGGAGATCTCCAAGGCTGCCAGGTGGGCGAGCCTGGCACGTGTCCCCCCATGCCAAGCCAAGCCTTAAACCCCTAAACCCTATAAACCCTAAAAGCCCTTTCAACCCTTTCAACCCTATAACCCTCTAAACACCCTAAACCCCCTAAACCTCTCAAAAGAAAAAACCTACCCTTTTTGAGAGCTGCCCCAGGGCTCTCCGGGCCAGCCGCTCCGAAGCTGCCTTGAGGCTGCCCGGGGTTTAGGGCGGGGGCTCCCAAAGGCGGGTTGGAGAAGCTCAGCTTTGAGAGAGTCCTTGGCGCCTGAAAAAAAAGCAGGACGGGAGACCGGCCTTCCAACGCTTCAAGCCAGCGCCCCAGAGTTGATTCTGCGGAGGGATCCTGGATCCTTCCCTGCCCGGGCTGCCGGGCCGGTGGTTCGAGGTGGCGCCAAGGCCGCGGCCAAGCTGCTGCTGCTGTCGAAGTCCGGAGACCTCTCGGCGGCCTCCCGTGCCGCCTCGTGAGAGCGGCGGCCTTCCCCCAAAAATGGCTCATCGAGTCTATAGAATGCTATAGTGTCTCTTAGAGGTTCCGCTCGCGAAGCGAGCAGACTTTAGAATCTGTCAGTGACTTGTCAAACAGGTGCTGGCCGTAGATCGACGCGTTCGCACTGCGTCCATGAAGAAGCTCTGCGCAGTTGCGTGTGGTCTTGCATCTGACTCGAGGGATGAGTGGATTGATGAGTCTTTGCCGTCACGGGAAGACACTTTTCCAGGAGGAGTTTCAAGCCTTCTTCGAAGATGCTGCGGGTTGTGGAAAGGCTTGGACTGATGGTGGCGGCAGTGGCGGCTTGAGACTGCTCCGCGTTGCAACGGAGTGACAGGTAGCCTGCGCCGCGCTGATCTCTTCTGCCAAGAGCCAGTGCGTGCATCCGGAAAGGAAGGACCCGTACCTCTGTGCGGGCCCCGAAGTGAGAAGAGAAGGCATTCCAGAAAAAGGGGCTCCTTGCAAGGCGGTGACTGCCCACGGAATCTCAAGACCGTCGACTTCGACGACAAGGCCAGGGCCAGTCCGACTTAATATGCACTGTGCTTGTATGATGTGATGTTACATTTTCTGATAGTTTTTTTTAAACACCCTTTTTATATGATATGATAGTACATTCTTTATTTATGTGTGGGTCATCTTTTTCATGGCACGTTGTGGCCAGGTCTGCGCAGCAGCGGCCTTCGTGTCATCAGCGAAGAGCCAATGTGTGCATCCGGAGCGAAAGGATCCGTATCTATGTAGAAACCTCGGTTCCGACTCTTCAAGGCTTGAAGCTCGCCCAGACCCTGCGCGCCGTGCTGAGGCGGTGACTGTCCTCGCAACGGCTTCTTCAAGGAAGCCCAGAAGACGCCAAAGGAGGGATAGGGAAATCGGGAGCCAAGACAGGGAGGATGCCACGGTTTGGGGGGTCCAGGTGTGCGCCGCGGCGGCCTTCGTGTCTTCCGCTAAGACACAGTGCGTGCATCCGGACCGGAAGGATCCGTATCTTTGCCTGGGCCATAGCTCGAGGGAGCGACGTGAAACAGAGGATGTGCAAGCCGAGTCTTACTCTCAAGGTGGAGACTGCCCTAGGAATCCAAAGTTCAGCAATCTCTGAACGGGCTCCGTGCTCAGTTCGAGTTCTTCCTGCTCCATCGGTGCGCGTGTCACAGCGGCAAGATTTTGCTCAGCCATCTTTCATGCGATTCATCACTATGCAATAGAATGCGCGGGTCGTGTCCCTGTCACAGCCATCACAGAGTGCACGACCACGCAACACTCGTGAGGGCGTATTGCAGTTTTACCTCTACCGTCCCAGCCACTTCGACAGCAAAAGCCATGGCTTTGCCTTTGCTCTCCGCGAGCCGCCGCTGGGATGTGGAGCTCCTGGAAGCCAACGAACCGGAGGATGCCAGCGAGGCGCCGACGGCGCAAAGTGGTGCTCTGTGTTCTCTCACTCCTCTGCCTGGGGAAGGCCAAAACCCTTAAGCAACCCTATAAACCCTATAAGCCCAAAAAGCCCGATGAGCCCTGTAAGCCCTGTAAACCCTAGAAACCCTGCAAACCGCAGGACTCAGGGCCTCGCCTTCCCTGGGGCATCCGGAAGACCCTCCTCCAGGAAGGCACCTCGGAAGACCGTCCGGCGACTGGCGACGAGGCCCTGAGTGGCCCTAAACGCACCCACAATCCGTCGCTTCCGTTCCCATACTCAGCCATACTCATTCCTTATCCGTCCAGTGTCCAGTGTGCTTGCCGTGCTGTTCTGCTTAATCTCATTTCGTCATTTGATGTATCTTGTATACGTCGCTGAATCCGTTTGATGCAGTAGCTGCGGGTCCATGCCTCTTCTTGGCTGTGCCGTCCATGCATTTTCATATTGACCTTGCGCAGGTTTCGTGTTGATTTTCAGGCTGGCCGCATGATGATGCCGTCTCCTGTGTACTCATGTCCATTCGGCTTTCAGGTGTGGATCCGAACTACTCTGGACACACGGTTCATGTCGTCATGTGTTGATATTCATCTCTCAACCTCTAAGTCGTTCTGATGGCAACAACTCCGACAAGGGTTGAAACTCGGGATCCACTTTAGTGCCCAGGTCCCTGGATCCACTCCCCTTCGCTCCTTTCATAGCGTTCGTTTCATATCGCTTGACCCTGCCTCACACTAGGGCCGTTGATGCCGCAAGATCCGAAGGCCATACCGGAAAGCGGCTTTTCTGTTTGCTGCCGTCTGCCTAGTGGCTCATGTCCTGAGCAGCTGCGTCCTTGGCACCCGTTCCATCCTCCCAAGTAGGTAAATGGGACGACAGACTTTGGAGAGAAGGAACCAAAGGCTGGATATTCGTCTGATAGAAAGAGAGGAAACCTATCCAAGCCCGCAAGAAGAAGATAAGAGCTCAAAGTGACAAGCGACGAACGAGCGAGTTCGCGATTTTGTGTGTCTGCGTGGCCTGACATGCACGCAAGGCAAGGGGGTGCGCGCGGTGCGGTAAGCAGGCAATGGAGACAAGGTGAATCCAGAAGCCCATTCCAGTGGGAGGCGGTGGCCAAAGTGAAGAGTCCTGCATTGGGGTCGCTGGACAGGTGCGAATTCACTTTGATGTGCGGCTCCTGGATGGGACAGCGATTAGCTCCTCCAGCGAAAGCGGCCCCTTCGAGTTCGTGGTCAACCAGAGGCAGGTGCCGGCCGCTTCTTGATGAGTGAGCCCGGCCAACATGTCTGCCGAAGTTTGCCAGCTGACGCAAGAGGCCCCGGGAGATCATCCAAGGCTTGGAGATTGCTGTGCAGACAATGACGTAACCCGGAGGCAGTAGTGTGCAAAAGTGGGCTGCAGTGTTCCCTTGCCCTGAGATTCAGCTGAGGAAGGGGGAAGCATGGACCTTACCTGCTTTGAGCCATCAATGCACGGGACTCCCCCTGCACCGAGGTAGCAGAATTTACGATCGCACCCAGATTCGCGTACGACGACCTCGGCTCCCCGCCTCTTGTGCCCCCCGATGCGACGCTCGTCTTTGAAATCGAGCTGCTCGAGTGGCAGAACAAGCTGGATGTGCTCGGGGATGGCCGTCGATTGGCTGCAGATTCACCTCAAAGGTCACTAGCTCTTGTTGAAGGCATCCGTATCCCAATGCGGTGCGAGCATCAGGAGTATCAACGATCCGTGCAAATATAAGCCGTGTACGGGCGGGGCGAGCATCGTGAGCTTCAACCGTATACATTTTTTTGTTCACTTCAGCTGCCGTATGCGAGAGTGGGGCAAGCGTCTGAGAATAGGCAGCGAGAAAAAGCACACAAGTCCTCACAATACGAAAAGCTGTGCTGTAATCCGCTCTGGCGCCCCTGGAAGGCTTCTCAGCAGCACAGTACAGGTTAGCAAAATCCCACCCAGGACAGGGATGGAAGAACGAGGCTATCTTGGCCAGGTGCCACCCTCACCCTCTGCGCAATCATCGGCCAGCCTGTCAACCTGAACAGACTTGAAGCCGGCACATGGGAAATGAGACTGCGCAAACAACGCGAAGAGGGTTGGGGACCTTACCGCAACGGCCTTACGACCCCACGTTACAGCGGCGCGAGGATCTTGAGAACCAGTCCGTTCATGTTTTCCAGTTCCAATCTCCGTACCCAGTCCACATTCCCTGCAGTGGCTGAACCGCAGCTGCACAGCCTGGAGGGCCAAGCCAGAGTGTCGGGCGAGCATTACAATGATGAGAGGGGCCCACGAGGCTGCTCGCGAGCGCACGAAACTTTGGAGAGGTGCCGTCGCCTTGAGACAAGCGCGCGCTTTGTCGGTTCCTGTCTGCGCAGTGGCCTGCCGGGATTCCCTGTTGCGCCCGGTACCGCGTGGCGGAACCATTGAGATTGTGCGAGCAGAAGTGGCCTGCCTGACCGTTTTGAGGTGCCATCAAAACGGTCCAGCAAAGAGGCTCTGGAAGCACCAGGCCACGACGAGGCCAAGATGTCGCCGCTAGGATGGGATGTGTGGAGGAGCATGTTTTGTCGGGTGAATCTGATTCGCCTTAGGTCGTCTCACTGGAAATCACCTCCCGCAAAGGGGAGGTGCTTCAAAAGACGACTGCGACAGATCATGTTGCGAGGGCCTCGAAACCAGGGGTTTGGGGGGGAAAGTTCGGGAGAAACTTCTGCGGCCGAGGTTGGCGAGAAGGACTTCGGGTCCGTCTCTGAGATCCTTTCGGAGGTGCTCCAGACCATGGTGGCAGGCGAGCGCTCCAAGGCCCTCTGCCCCAAAAGCAAATGGCTCGCAGTGATCACCGGGCCCATGTGATTCTTAGGTGCTCCTTCGAAGGTTTGCGGGCGACCGAATCGTGGCGCTTGGGCTGCGATCTGGGCTCTTTCCCAGGTGCTTCCATGAATAAACAGCAGCCCGAGGACTCGGCACACAGTGGCGCTACTGTGGACCTGCTTCTCGAGCACTCTCGGCTGCATCGAAAAAGCGCCCGGAATTGTGTCCTCTAACCCGAAGCCCAGCCTTAGCCTGGGTAGCGCAGGCGAGTGTATGTGACGTCAGACCTCCTCCCCGAGCAGAGTGGCTTGCTCGTCAAGAAGCTGCTCTCCGATGGGATCGAAGATCCGCCTCGAGATGCGGACCTGGTAGAGTTGAGGGTGGACGGGGCCTTCGCCGCTCGACCCGATTTTAGAAGTCAGGATTTTTCTGGAGTGAGAGTCTGGTCACCTAAACCCTAAACCCTAAACCCTAAACCCCTAAACCCCAAACCGAGAAAGGGCCCGCTGCCAGGAGCCAAAAGTGCTGTCCTTTGCTCTCGGCAGCGGGGATGTCTGCGATGCATTGGACTTTGCCGCAGCAGCGATGCACGTCGGCGAAGAGGCCCCGGGATATGCGATTTTGAAGGATATGATGTTTGCGGTTTGCTGCGTTTACTGCTCAAGATGTCCTTACAAGAGGCCAAGATCGTTTGCAGAAGCCCGCTGAATTTTTCCGATGCACAGCTCGGCTTGGCATCCGTGCTTGGGGCTGCATCGTGGGACCTCTGGCAGAGCCTTCGATGGAAACTTGCATTTTTTTTGTGACTCAGGATTCACTGGAAGTCACCCTGCAGGTGAAGCTCCTGAGCTTGGACCTCGGACTTCCCAGAGGCGAGGGTTTTTGAAATGCCCTGAGATGCCGTGGGAGGTGTGAGGAGACAAAGCCCGGCGAGCGAAGATCGCCTGCTCCTGGCAGAGCAGTGCAAGAGCCGTGCGGCCAAAGCCTTCAAAGAAGGGCGTGCTCCCGGCTGCTTTAAGCAGGGCTTGAAAGGTGGTGCGAGGAGGGATGCTGCCTCGAGCTTTGCCTGCAGGCTACCGCTTTGCTTTGGAAGTGTATCGGAGGCTGGGCTGCTGTCTTGGGATGCTGGAAGCAAAGCCCGTGTGCAGCCTGCAGGCTCAAGGCTGCTTTTGATGGGGAGGAGGCTGCCAAGCAATTCTGCAATCTCTGCGAGCTCAACCGTGCGGCCTGTGCGGGACCCTGAAAACTCAAGAGAGATGCGCTGACATGCTGTCGCCGCTTTTCACAGGTTTCCTGAAGATCGGGAGACCCCACGAAGCTCGCAGAGCATGCTCCTACGTACTAGATCAGGATCCAGAGAATGAGAAGGCCGGAAGGGCTCTGGAGAGAAGTCCCAGATCATCGAGTGTCGGGTGCGTTTCTGCAGGCACGCTACCGTCGCGCGTGCCTTGGCTACAATTGTCAAGGGTGGACCGGAGTTGATGATGATCTGCTGTGTGCACGGTTGCTCGCGTGTGTCTGTCTTTGTGTGCGCTGCTGCGCGAAGCATCGCAAAGGTCAGCAGAGTTTCAGCTCTCGAATTATTCCGCAGCCTTGCACGACCTGCACGCCTTGCTGAAGCAGCAGCCGACGAACAGCCGCACGGCAAAGCGACAGTGGTGCTAGAGGGCGGTCCGTTCCTTCACAGCGCAGCACAGCGCAGCAGCGTAGCCGTGACGAGGGGTGTTGGCATGAAATCGCACTCTTCACATCGAGGCGAAGCGCGGACCCTCGCTGATCAAGTGCGCAAAGCGCAGCGTACCTACTCACAGGAGGCCGGAAGCAGTCAGGGAAGTTCACGTGCATCCGCATGCGTCCGCGCATCTGTGGCGCCTGGCTCGCCGTGATGGAATGCCAAGGCCAAAGCCGCTGCAGCTCGCATGCTGGGTGACAAGAGTGACAAGACCGCAACCCAAGAAGGACCTCTCTGAACACTGATTGCGCGATATTGCACGTGCCCTTGCAGCATCTGAAGCCACACTTCCGAGCTGCAGGAGACGGCGAGGACGACTCAGAATCAGCTCTCCGGCTGGTCCTGGGTCGTGTTTGCGGCCTTGCTTTGCTGAAAGCCGCCGAATCCGAGGCCTGCGTCCGGCTTCGAGCGCTCGCAAGGATTCTGCTGCCGTGCTTGCCGAGCTCCTCTCGCGCGTTGAAGACCTGAGAGTCGGAAAAAAGGAGAGGCCAAACCTGTCCTGTGTTGTGACGCTGTGTTCTACAGCCATGATGCGCAAGCAATGAGGACCAATTCGGTTCAGTGACTCATACAGACGTCAGTGCGGCCAAGGCATCTCCGGGAAACAGTGCAAGGTGATCTGAGGCCATAGCGGCCGTAGCATTCCACCAGCGATTTTTCAGCGCCTGCTTGCAGGAGCTCTCAGGACACAAGACAATTGAAGAGCCTTCCCGTTCAACTCGGTGCTTCAGAAGCGGGCAGTGTTGGCCTTGCGTTCACGTTTCACATTGGGAGCAGGTTGCAGACTGCGAATTTTCCAAGAAGCAGTGAGTCGCTCTTTTGACTTCCGGTCTTGGCCCATTGGATTTGCTGTCCTTTCCATCTCCTCAAAATGTGGTGTGTGGTGTGCCAAGTGTTCCGTTGCAACAGGGCCGAATCTCTTGTGCGCCGGCGTGTGCCGTGGTGACTTCCCAGCTCAGAAGCCTCGAGGAGGCTCGAGGGCCAGAATTGCTGAGCAGCACACCCTGCTCTGCAGCGTGTGTCGGGCTTTCAAAGACCACAGAAAGACCCCAAAGATGCGCCCCGTCGGATTAAAAAGGAGGGAAGACGGGCGTGCCGCGTGGAGCTAGACTTAGACGACATGACGGCACGGCGTCAACCTCAACCGGTCGGACACATACTCCTTCCTAGCACCCAGCCGATGCGTCCTTGCGCACTGAGCCCTGCTTCACTCTCCCATCGAGCCTCAACCCGTACTAAGTACTAGAGTTACTAAGAGTTGTTACACCAGGGTTTGGGGTGGATTGGTCGGCCTCGGGCGCTGAGAGAGAGTCCGTAGCTCTCACTGAGCCAGGTCACGGTTCCAACGCTGATCCTCCACGGAGATCAGGACGAGGCAGGTTCCAACGCTTACGTCACCCTTGCTCATTTTCTCCGCCTGTGCCAGATCAGCCCTGTGGAGCAAGCGCGCCCGGCGGGTTTGGGCTGGAAAAGGGTACCTGCTCCCACACTCTTGGATGTGGTTTACATGGTCCTTGTTGGCAGGCCGTGTGCGCACACAAAGCTTGTAGCTCGGAGCGGAAGCTGGTACGGCAAGAGCCTCGGAGTGCTTTGAGTATTCAACCTCCCTCCCTCTCCTGCTTGGCCCTGCCTTCGCGCTTTCAGGGCTTCAGTGCCATGCTGAGGTACCCCAGGGCTGGGCACAACGACCTTCGACTGCTTTCCAAGCGGGACCACATGAGCTGTGCGGTGCACGGCGGTGCACGCGGGGGCAGCCAATTCTCGGTGCAGGAGTACTTCCAGGAGCTGGCCGCTCTTTGCACGAGGGTGGTCACCGGCAACCCCGAGGTCGGGCCGGGGCGTGCCGACCTGCCCTCCACAAAACGCCCCACGGCCGAGGCTTTGGCGGAGCCCTCCGGCCAGACATGGCTGGGCATGATCAGCGACTTCATCAGCAACGGCTCGGTGCGGCCCTGAAGTGCTGGCAGGTGCCGGGCGCAAGATGTCGACTGCTGAGGCCCTGAAGTGCTTACCCGGCGTTCGGCGGTGCTTCGTCACCGATCCCGAGATGACAAGCTCGCCTCGCTGAGACCCCGAAGACTGCATGTCAGCCCAGTTTCAAACACGACAACCGTTTTTCCAAGCGCTGGAAAAAGCTGCCGCTGTTCTTCCTCACGAGTACTGCCCACCCCCCCCTGGAAGCAGGACTCGTAGACGATTCCATCTACTTCATCTGCTTTGGGGATGGCTCCCACGTGACGACATACATGGTTCAGCGACCTGCGAGTACCAAGGTTCTGCATGCATGCGACATCAAGGTTCACTTGGCTTGTGATTCGACTTTTCATTTCATGAGCATTCAAAATTCGAAGTAAGGTTCCTGCAGCCTGCAGGCTTGCAGCCTTAGCCGCCACGGGTTTGGACTTGCTTGTCGGTGCTTCAAGCGTGTCACAGTATGCCACCGTCGGTCAGGTTGTGAGCACGGCATGGCTGGCCGGACAAGCCTGCTGGCAAGCATTCTGGGAATCCAAAAGCCAACCTGGGGTTGTGGCACAGCTCAATGGCGGATGCCAGATGGGGTGTAGCCCGAAGACTTTTTGCGGAACCCAAGGTTTCTTGCGCTTTGACGCATTGGAATTTTTGCTGCTTGATGCATGCAGCGGGAAGACGGGCTTTGAGGAAACCTGCAACCAGTGCGATGAAGTGTCCGACATAGCGGGCAGCGCCGCAGATGAAGCTTCTGAAGCTTCTGAAGCAGAGACCCTGATTCTGGACTCGCCTCCTCGAGCCTTTGAGATGGGCAAGAGGCTGGCCGAAGGCGCTTTCGCGAGGGTGCACATCGCACGGTACCTTGGGGAGACCGTTGCCGTCAAGCTGCCAAAGAACATGGCGGAAGCCGCTTCTTTGTACGCAGAGGCAGTCTTGCTGAACGCGGCGGCGCCCCACAACAACATTGTGGCTGTGGAATTTATGGCGCGGGTCTTAGCTAAGTTATAAATTTATAAAATCACATTTTTGCACATGTGGAAGGAAATCAAAGGGCTGCAGGGCTGCAAAGTTGGAAGGAGGCGGTCGGTGGATGATGTTGCCGGACGATGATGTTGCCGGACCCAACGCAATTACGTGTTTATGTTGTGACGTCTCCCCACGCAATATCGCAGGACAGCAATAGGTTTCAGCAGGCCAGTGCACGCTTTCCAAGATAATGTTTCGTGCAAACAAGTACCCGAATAAGCGTATGTGTTCTTATAGGGGGTAAACATGTCTCTTCAGGAAAACATGATGTGCACAAGTGACCGCTTCCGCTGCGAAGAACCACATTCTGTTGAGGTGGGCTGATTTCGACATGAAGTTTACACCAAAGGGGCCCACGCATGGGCTGCATGTATAGTGGCTGTCAAATCAAATCATGAAATCACCAAGGCATCACGCCAGCACAGACCCCAAGCCCTGAACACCACCTGGTAGCTTACAGCTCTACTCATCCGCAGCATAGCCACGAGAGTTGCCAAAAAGCCTTCGCAGATCAATCTTCTGAGAGGATTGGTCAGTTGAAGACGCGTGGAGCACAAATCGGGGACCACGTCCGGATATTCCAGGATGGTCACTCCCAAACAACCTTACCGATGATAGCCCAGGACAAACTTGCAAATGCCCAGAACCAGCCCCAGACTTCAGTGGAATCGCAGGCAGTTTACGAGACTTTCTTCTGCCATTGGAATCCGGGTTTCGCCAGAAACGCGTGTTCCAACAGATTTCGGAGGAGCCGGGCTAAGATTAGGGCCAATGGTCCCGGCAGACTCCAATGGTCGATTCTCGAGCTGGCCGGACCAAATAGACAGATTCGGCCCAAACGACACGATTTTGCTTTTTGGTGGAACGAGACTATTCTGGATCATTTTTTTTTGCTGTTGTCGCCGGATAGATTCGAGATCGGGGTTCCACAATGTCAGGCGGGCTCATGTGGTTCAAGAGCAGGTTGCTGCAAGCTACCAAGAGTAATCTGGTATGCCTTGCTGCTGTTCACCTTGATTGTTGAATGCTGCTGTTGGCAATGGCACGGTCCAATCTCAAAGCCGAAAGACGAAATGCACGGTCAGAATTTGCTCGGGTGTCAACTTTGAGCATTTTGCACTGCGCCAGACACGTTGTCACGGAAAATCTGTCTTTTGTCCGTGGCACTGTCACGAATTTGCAGGTGGGGAGCTGGGAGTTGGAGGGAGTGTGCACGTGGCGAAGGACCACAGCCGGTATGACGGATACAAGGAAGAAGAGAGCAAGGAGGAGCAGTTGTAGAAGTTTTGATCAGGAAGACCAGTTGTAGAAGCTTTGATTTTCCACATGTCCTATGCCAACCCTCCGGAAAGAATGAAAATGCTGCGCATTCTTTGGATGGCGCACGTTTCAAACTCATGTGAGAATCTGTCGCTGTGTGTGTGTGTGTGTGGGATTTTCCGTTGTGCATGTCAATGCCTTCATAAGTGCTTGCACCGGCAAATGAAGATTGCATCAACGACGAGCGTGCCGAGGTCTGCAACGACTTCGTGTCATTCCTCGTCTTGGAATGCTTAGGCGCCAATTTGGCAGATGTTGTGGCATGTAGCGGATCGCTGGGGCAAGCCGACGCGGAGACATAGCTCCGAGAGATGACATCGGCACTATGCCACTTGCAAATGAAGGAGATCTTGCATCGGGATGTAAAGCCTGGCAACATTGCACAAAGCGAGCATGCCAGCACCAGCAATTGGAAATTGCTTGATTTTGACTCAGCGTGTCATTTAAACTCACCGCAACAAGCGGAGTGCATGGGAGGGACCATGCTGTATTACAGCCCGGAGGTGCTGAGCGGACGGTACGACATGCGCAGGGACGTTTTCGCACTTGGCGTGACCTTGGTGGAGGTATCTCAAACTCCTATGCCGCTTTTTGAATGGCTGATGTGTGAAGAATCCCGCCGACCTTACGCCAGCGATGTAATGCTGCGAGCCTCGGAGGTGACGTCGCCTAGTTGCAAAACAATTCCGTCAGCAATTGTGCTTTGCTACAGATTCCCATGTTGGAGTGTGCTGCCTGCGAGTTGCGGGGAGGACAGGTACAACACCTGTGACTAATTCAAGCCAAACGAGCTACTTGCTTGCACGAGGCACCCCCTTCAACACTGGCAAGTGAGTGATTAGCTGACAGTCACACAGCCGCTGCAAGCTTGCCAAAGTCATCTTTAATCAGATGGAAGCCATGAAGGGCAAAGAATGCCACGCTTCTCCATTCGACGGCGCCCACGATACGTGATGCATGCCGCGCAGCCATCGATCGTTTGAAATCGAAAAGAAAGTCTAATGAGGCCTCGAAGTGCCTACTCGAACCACGAGTACAGTGGTGATTCGTCACCGACCGCGTGATGATAACTGTGGAATGCAGTGTTGGAAAGAAGCATGTAGCGCACATCGCGGATTCAAAAATTCCTGCACCGCCGGCCGTGTTGTCCGGTTCTGAAGCTTACTATGCTTGGGCCGCGACCTGGGCAAGCGGGCAGGCAGACAGCGTTGCAGAGTGGCAAATAACGGACTCGGGAGCCGGTACCTCGAACGCTGAAGGTCATGCGACCTTTGCAGGGGGCACAGCGGTTGACGCGAAGTGCAGGCGGGGGCGTCGGTCCTTCGCCGACTTTCAAAGACATCCAGACCCGCGCTCTCTCAGGGCTCGCCAGGGATCTGCGGCATCTCGCAAGGTGCCACTTTGCTGTCTCACCAAGCCGCTCCTTGTGTTGGGCCATCTGCGGAGGTCCCATCATCGTGGAGTCCTGGCACGAGGGTCCATCTGTGTAGAGAAAAGGTTAGCAGCAGTGGATGTTCCAAGGAAGCCCGTAAGGCCGTGGCCCGTGACACACCGCGTCGCAACCAGCTGCAATGTTGGACGCACCGTGCAGGCCTTAGGAAGATCCCCGAACATGCGCATGCGCGGCTTGTTCAAAGTTTCTTCAAGATTGAAATTTGCCTGTTGCATCCTACGGAATCCTGCGTGTATACGGCATTTTTGTGTTTTTGAGGCCTCGGCTGCATCTGCGGCGACGCCAAACCCAGTGCCGCTGCTTGAGAGCATCAATATCAGCTTTTGGTGGAGTCAAAACACGGGCCGGCGAAGCTTTCGCAAAGGCCCGATGTCCCAGAAGGCCTCGACGAGAAGGCGAGACAGAGTTCAAATCAGGCTGAGTCGCACGCAGTGCGGCTTCTCGGCTTTGATATCAGGAGAAACACGGGCCTCCGACCCAGCTCTGCCGCGTTTCTCCACGTTCTGCCTTGGAAGCGCCGAGGTCTGTGGCACCTACCAGGGAGCAGCTGCACAGGCGCAGCTTTTTGAGGGAGTTTAGGTTTCGAGAGCTGCCATAGCGCCAAGAGAAGACGGGGCCGCGAGAGGTGCTTGCAGGCCGCTGCAATTCCTTACATCGGGTCCGGCCTTCGGCCTTCGGCTGAGTCTGCAGCTGGCACGCCTATGTACGGGTGCCCAGGTTCGGATTCCTGGATAACTTCTTGATGATCGTCTTCGGCGACTTTATCGACAGCACGCTCTGTGCACCCACGCTGCACAAGCAACGCGTGTGGGCTTGGACTGCAGAATCGGCCACACGACTTAGGTGGCCTTGAACTTCAGCACCATGGCTGCGCTGGGGCCTTATAAACTTATAGGCTTTAGATAGGCTCGCCGCGGAGCGTTCGGAGATGTTGGTAGCCTGGGAGCAGGGCCGCCATCGGGAACACATTGAGCGACGGCGCCGGCATCTGGTCGGGCCAGTGGCTCGAAGCCAGAGCCAAGTCCCTGGGCTTCGAGGCCCGCCGACGTTGACATGCGTTCTGGAGCCTTTCAGCCGTGGCAGTAGCCAAGAGCCGCCCAAAATGGTGACACGAATTTTTTGGAGCTTGAAGCGGATGAACCTGTAAGGCCCATATGCTATTTGCAGTAGCTGTCACCGAACAGGCAGCTCTGGGGGCCTGAAAACGCAGGAGAAGCCAAGTTTATTGTTCTAGTCACAATGCTTCCAGGGGGATGCAGCAGAGCCTCCGAACAAGCTGAAAGAACGTTACAAGCAAGTGGACAGGACTTGCATGTTCTTGCAAACAGCAAGAACAGGACGAAGAGCGAACACGGGTAATGGCAAGAAGCTCGCCAGCCGCCGTTTTGCATGCTTTTGCGCCTTGATTGTCAGCGCTTGCGTGTTGAGGAGCCCAAGCTCAGCGAAGAGCAGGAGGAGATGGGCGTGACGGTGCGCTGGCGGAACGTAGGCCACCGCTGTGCTGCATCCTCTACCGGCACACACGAACACCTGTTTCATGCTAGTCCGCTGCAGCTTGATGGCACTGTTACTTCTCAAGCGGCCCGTTGCACCGACAGCTCTCTGTGTCTGGCCAAAGCAAGGCCAGTTCGTGGGCATCACAGTTGGCTGTATCCTCGGCTGCTGCCCTTTGCTCTGGCCTCCTGACAGCAGACGGCTTCACTTCCTTCCATCGCCCTGCGCAACTCTCTTCAAGGATGGATCCCGAGGCAGCCATCAAGCAGCGACGGGAGAAGGCGCCGAGGGAGCTCAGTTTAAACATCTACAGTGTCTGGCTTGCGATAGATGATGGCAACAGCGGTTACAGCAAGAGGCAACTGGTCACTTGTGTGTGCTACTTGTACCATGTGAGCAGACCGTTTACGTGGTTTCAAGGGAGGACCCACAGCATGTGGATTGGGCAGTGAAGTCGATGGTGTCTCGCTTTCCTAGTCGTAGCTCTCCGCCCATACCGGAGAGCCGCTTCTCGGCCTCCGAAGCCCACCGACAGCCAGGATTTCGAGTTTCGGCCCCCGCGCGCACTCTTCGGGTTTTTCTGCGCCAGCAAGGCTTTGGATAAGCTGTACTACGCGGCCCACGCAAAGCCACCTCGCGCACGCGCCATGACGCTGTTCGATGCTGCGCAGATGCAGCATGATGTGAGGAAAGGCAGACCAGCTCCAGAACCACCACAGAGCCGAATTCCAGCTGCAGCATCGGTAGGAGCGGGAGGAAGCCTTCGAAATCGTCGTCAGCAAGGCCCAAGAGGGTATTTGTCAGAGCTCGCTCTCTGGGAGCTGTTGGTTTCTTTCAGGTGCAGGAGCTTCTCCAGGCCGAAGCAGTGTCTCTGCTCCTCCTGAACAAAGCGCCGACCTTAAAGTGTCCGTGCAGAGTGTCACTGGCAGAGACTTCCATCATCGGGTGAGCTGTGTGCACGAAGTTGTGCGTCGAGCACAGTCAGCATGATGCTTCAAACTGCAGAACATGATCTCAGGAGCGTGATGAGCTTATTGCATCACACCAGACGAAGAATCTCCCGGAGCACTTTCACTGGAAGCTTGATGAAGGATTTATAGGCAGGCCACAGAAAACAGGAGTGCAGCTACGTAAAGTTTGTCAACTGTTGTGACAGGGCACGTGGTCAGCACGGGCCACTTCATCAACGTTGCAGACATCAAGGCCAGGGGAAAAGGGGCAGAACTTGGAGCTGTGTGCTATGAGATCCAGGATGAAGCACAGTACAACCCCGAGATTCACGACAACTTCTTGAAGACCGGCATCAAAGTGCAAAGCATTCTGTGTAGGGATCTCACTGTCTCTAGGCTTCCCACTCGTCCCTTGTCCCGGAGTGCTTTGAGGTATGCCTATATTCAGAGGCGGCGAAGTCCACGGCGTCGTCTCTGTCGTCAACAAGAGCGGCACCTACAGAATGCTCAGTGTTTCGGAGACTTGTTCTGCGGATCATTTCGGACGGAGCCCACAGGAAAAAGAACCACGGGGCCTTCACCCAGAAGGACGAGGACCTTCTCTCGGCAATCTGCCAAAGCCTTGCCTGTGCATTCGTGGATCAGGGGACATTTTCCAAAGACAGAGCGGGCCCCCTTGAATGAAAGCAAGTGCGAACTAGGTTCTCATGTTTCTGTCGCTCTTATCGACGACAAGCAGACCTTCAAGGAGGCACCCCATGCGAACGTTCCTCAATCCACCTTGAGATTAATTTCCTGCACATTAGAGCACTTCTTTCGTGCAGAACCGTCTCGTAACGTACTTGTCTGTCATGCAGCGTTAATTTGCTAAGAAGGCAGCAGTTCAGATGCTCGTCCCCGCCTAGCACATGCCCGCGTAGCGTTGTACCCGTGAAAGCTTCCTAGCATCTCTGTTCTGACATGTTCTGAGCTTGATTCACACAGCATGCGCACTTTGCAAGGTGGGAGTTTAAAGAACTCGGCTGGCTTGTCTACATGTTGTAGATTGTAGACTTGGATGCCTGGCTTAGCATGGATGCCGACCTGCATGCGCTCAAGAGCTTCATCGCTGAAGGCTTCAGGTTTCTGAAGAGTCAGTGCGCTGGCCTTCTAGCCATCTCGGCCTACGCGTCCATGCTGTTGCATCTTCCGCGCAGGTCATTGAGCAGTGCGAGAAGTCCATGCAGACAACAGGCGCAAACCTCAGTGCACAGAGGCACCACAGGTGTTCTTCGCATGCGGATCACCCCTTCCTTCTTCAAAGCGGGTCATCACAACCGAACAGCACAGACAGGCGAAAATCAATACATTCATTAGCAGTTGACTGGCACAGTTCGAGACAAGCACTTGCAGCCCCTTCACTTCGAATAGAGTTTCAGCAGCTAGTCAGTACAGTACGGCAAAACACCCGCACTTCCCAAAGCTGCAGCCGTCAACCGGCACCTGCTTCCAGGTTCGCCTGAATTCACTTCAGCCGCCTCTCAGCGCATGGTGCGCGCCACTCTGCCTCCGGTCTCTGAGCCGATTTCCCTGTTTCGGCAGGCGACGCTCTTCGTTCCGGCCCTGGAGGGCCTCCGCACCGTCCTCGGGGCCGAGGCCGAGGGGCGCGCGCGCGCGCGCCAGCCTCCTTGCGTCGGCGCGCTCTGCACTCGAGTACAGGCCACCGTGCTGATGCTGCTGGACAGACAGTCAAGATCCGAGCTGTACAGAATCCAATCGCGATCCAACTCAATGACTTTGCCTCAGGTCGCAGGAGCTCTTCTCGGAGGCCCCGCTGCCGGTGGGGCGGGGAGGAGAGGATGACGCAGGGAAGAACCCAAAGCTGGACTTTAGGGAGGCCATGCTTGGCTCAGAGTTGCTGAGGGCCGAAACGTTAGAAAGCTTGGAGCAGTGCTGGCGGGCAGAAAAGCAGCAAGCCGCAATGAACGTCAATTGCAGAGGCTTCCCACCCGCAACAGCGATTTTTCGTTTCGCACAAGATGCTACGGCTGCTACGGACTGCCTTGTGCAAGCTTTTCGCTTAAAGCGCCGGGGCCGCTTCTTTTTTTGTCGGTGCATCCTTTTGAAACGTTTTTTTTGTTGATGTTCTGACTGAGAGTCGTGAGTTCGAGCAGCTTTGTTGGGACTGCTGACATGCACGCCTGTGTCCTAAGCCTTTGAATTCGTGGCAGTTCCCAGGCTGAGGCAACTGTTCAAGGCAGCCTGTCATGTCTCCAGGTCATTGACGGGCCTCTGCCGCACCACACGGCACCAGTGGGCCTACGACTCGAAGCCTGCCCTTCCACTTTGGGGTGGCTGGAGTGAATGTGGAGTGAGGCGTTGGTGCAGCCGGCGAGGTCCGAGACAAGCCGTTTTTGAGAAGAAAGGTGCTAAAACGGGATCTGCGTCCCGTTTGCTTTTAGGCTGTGCAAGTGGGCCACTACATGAACGTGCCTCAGACCGAAACAACAGGCCTGGAGACTGTCTGGACTCCTGGCTGCTTAGCACTGCTTAGAAGTCGTATACTTCTGAGCAGAGCTTCGAGTGTCTTTAGCTGCTCTTTGTGCAGGATCGGAGCTTGCCGTGCCACTCTTCGATACGTCGCGGAAATGCCTGGGCACGCCTTGCAATCTGTGAGACCATGCGACCGTGCAACAGTGACGAGCGGGCTCCTGCGAAGAAAGGTGCCATCAAATGTGTCAACAAGCAAGGAAGCACTGCCCTGACACGCTTCTTTTTTATCTTCTATTTCCGGGGTCTCCTCTTGACACCCCTAGGTTCTGCCTTCAACACGGAGGACGTGGAATTCGTGACACAGGCCGGCAGCACACCTTCGCCGAAGCTCGTGGCACTAGCCAAATAGAGTAGCTAGGGTTTTTGAGCGCACAGGTCGCGCACTACATGGGCATGCTACTGGAAGGCCCAGATGCGGGGCTCAGGAGGGCCAGAGCCCGAGACGTGGACACAGAAAAGCAAAAGTCAAGGGCCAGCGGTCTCGGCGTTTTTGCAGGTGCTGGCCTCGACCAGGCAGAAGATGCAGACCAAAGCCGCGATGCAGGCCCTGCCTCGACGGCGAAGCATGCGAAGCATGCGAAGCATGGTCATGGATGTCTCTGTGGAGGCTGCGGACGCCAAGGGCACCATCGTGTGTAACTTGGTCAAGGCCCGCGACGGCCCATTCGCGTTGCACACTGCGGGCGCGCCACGCGACGTAGAAAAAAAGCCCCCTGAGATCCAGGCCACAAGCTTGCCCAGTGCTTCGGCCGCAGCCTCGACACGCAGCTTAGAGTCTGGGCTTCCCTTTGCATTCCCTCTGCCCAGAAACGAAAAGTCATCGACCCCTACGTGACCTTCAGCATCGCGCGCCGAGACCCTGGGAAGTGAGGGCAGGTCGCGTGAGTTGGGAACCTTGATCTGCCCAGGAAGCAATCCGTTGCAGCAAGAGCCCGGGGCAAGCCACTGAGAGTGTCGAAGGGTGGGTCTAGTTGCCTTCAGCTTGCGTTGCCCCCGACTTGCCACTCTCTCTCTCTCTCTCTCTCTCTCTCTCTCTCTCTCTGGACTGTGTCTCAGATGATGTATTTATTGTGCGCAGCAGAACACAGCAACTGCGACTTCGCATGAAGCTGTCCGAGCATTTTCCCGGCCTGCTCGAAATGCACTCGGAAGTGCACGAAGTTTTTGCTGTTGACAGGCTTAGCCTGGCTGAGGTTTCTGTTGCCATGCACCTGTGAGTGTGATGAATGTATCGAAGAATACGGAATGTGAAGCTGCAAGCGAATTTGCACATGCTGCTTGTCTGAGATCCGGCGAGGTTAACGACGTTCGCGACGACTGTTGTAACAGCAGAGTAGCAGACTTCTTGCCTCCTTCTTCCCTAAGGTTGAGCAGAGGGTCATGCGAGTCCGGAACAAGGACAGGAAGGTCGGCTGGGTCGGCATCTCTCGAGTCTCGAGCCCTCGTCGATTCTCCGTGTTGGCTCGGTGTTGCAGAGTTGAAGACAGCGTCAACCTCGTCCGAGCCAGGCAGCCATCCGCAGATTCGCCAAGTCTGGCACAATTTTAGAGGAGTGGCTTCAGAGGTGGTTTGTCAAGCGGAGGTTTTGCACCAGTAGGTGCATGAAATTGCGCAGTTTTCCAGTCCTCTCGGTTCCGTACTTGCCTGCCTTGTGCATGGTATGCTGCGGATGCTGCGCAAGACTCGGAGGATCCCAACCCTTCCTGGAACGAGTCCATTGCTCTCGCCTTTCCGAAGAAGTTTGAAGGCCGGAGCCGGGAAACTACGGAATTTTACGCTCCCTGCTGGGTTTGCTTGGTGTCGCGCCATCAGGTGTGCCGGAAGAGGATCCGGGGGTTGCCCTCCAGGCAAACTGAACCACAGCCGCAGCCAAGTCTTGCAGGAGCTATGGGTGCACGTTCTCTTGTGGGACTACGACTCGTGCAAGACTCGGCGCTTCTCGCGAGAAAGGGAGATCACGATCTGGAGCTGCTTGTCTGAGGCTGAGAAACGACGAGCTGGTGGCGCACGCGGCCTTCTCACTGTCGGAGATCCGGGCCGGGAAGCTCAAGGAGGCACTCATCTTCACTCCGGGCCCTCGGTGTGGGGAACCGACCCCCAGCACAGGTGGCGGCGCACGGGCTGAGGCCCCTGCCGGGGACTGGCCAGGCCTGGAAAGAGACAGTTGTTGTTTTTGAAGCTTGTGGCCCTCTTTCACCTTCAAGGCCTCTTCAGAGGCCCCAGTGCTTGGACCAGACAAGCAGATTGCCACCCTCTGGGCCTGGCTCTCGCGGAAGCAGGGTCTTTGAAGAAGGGGATCACACCGAACGCATCTCGTGTCCAGGTCTCCTTCGATCCTTGAAGGCATGGGAGTGTCCTCTCGACGGTAGCACGGCATCAGGTAAAGACACCCCGCAGTTACGTAGTGCATGTCGTTTCGTTTCACAAGACCAGTGACGTTTCAAGTTTCCTGGGCATCCTTCGCCCCTCCTGCACTGGTCCTTGCGTTCCTCCGACGCCAGGAGGGGAGGCTGACAGTCTCCTCAGCCTCCCCTCTCTTCGCAGACGAGCAGAGAAAATCCGTCGACTCCTTCAGCAACCTGACTCCCCCTCCGATGTCGGCAGCCAATTTCTCTCCCAGAGACTGAGATGGGCCGCACTGTTGATCTAGGCTACCTACTGTAGGAAGATATCAAATCGCAGATGCAGGTCCGAAAGTGCCGGGGGCTTTGAGTGAAGGAGTCGTCGGGCACGCCGCCATTGATTTTGGGCTCAGCATGGCCAGTGCAGCGTCATGCGTAGCCGGACGAGACATCCGTATGATCTTTTGGGCACTACATTCCCGTCTACATTGTAGAGTATTGAAGCCAGTGTGTGCTGTCAGAGACTGTGGGGATAATCTTGAACTACTTCTGGCTTCGCATCACGCAAAATGGCGGCAGCATCGCATGCACAACATGCCTCGGAGCTCACTGGTCGCGCCCCCAGCCTTCCAGTCGGGTTTAGAAAGGGCTACAGATACGATTCTTTAAAACTATACTGTATTTTTTCTGTTTATATTCTATTCTATTACATTACATTGAAGCCTCAACCTTGTCGAGGAGCAGTCGCAGCGACGAGCTGGCATGTCTCTTGGGCTGTGGCTGCGGTTGCAGTTTCCATCACGGTCGCATCTCGAGCTTGGCCTTCTCATCGCATCGGCCCAAGTAGGAACAGACAGACTGGTTGGTCAGATGCAAGATTAAGTTGGGCCTGAAGCGTCTTCGCGCCCACGAAACAGGGTCCAGTTTAGAGCCTGAGAGTCTAATTACAGAGCTTTGCCGACTTTGCCATGGCGGAGGGCCGAAAGCGAACTTGGCAGCGAAGCAGGCGCCTGGTGCTCCTCGCGCTCGCGCTCATGGGACTGGCAAAGACCTCCTTTGGCCCAAGCTTCGTGGGGCCAAGGCAGCCAAAGCCATTTTTGAGATGCAAGAAGCCAGCGTCGCTTCAGCGGAGCGTCTCTCGAGAGGAGATGCTGCTGAGTGGCGAGGGCGCCAAGGTGATCGAGGCGCTTCCAACCGTTCGACAGGAGGATCTCCCCTTGAACACAAGCATCGCCTTGGCGACCATCGCCATGTTCGGGTACATGTCCTACCAGTTCTGGACGCGCATCGCCTTCGGGAAGGCCTTCGGCAGCCCGGCCCCAGAAGGGACGGAGAGTTCTGGCAGTGGGTGCTTGACATGCCCGAAAGAGCTGGAGATTGCGCAGCTAAGGCACTGCCGATCCGGTGGTCATCCAGAAGCCGGAGGTGGTGTTTAAGGAACTACAAGATCAGAGTAGGGGCAAGCGAAAGCGTCCTGTAGGCATAGAGGGGAAAGTCTCCATCGGCATGGATGCAGACACAAACCGTGGGCGCAAAGTTCTGGGTCTTGACGCGCTCATCTTTGCATATCTGATGTTTGCATCTGCTTTCTTCATGCTCGTGTTCGGAGCCGCTGCAGCATACTACCCCTTGCTCAGCGGCCAAGTCCAGATGGATAGGTAACACTATGCAGCATTCGAGTTGCAGCTTTTCGCGGCGGACCGCCCAGCTCTATACCATACTCGTGATTTTTCTGCCAGTGCGGGTCAGCGCGACGGTCACCGGCACACGACCTTTAAGATTCCTGTCGCATGGTCATGCTTGCATGAAGAATTCAACAGCGGCACGAGCTGAGCCGCGTCTGGAAGAAAGAGTGCAGGCTGCGATCTGATCAGACTCTCCGAAGGCGCCTGCGAAGTGACAATGCGCCAGGCTCTATGAAGCTGAAGCCGAACCAAAGGCTCGACTCCTTCAGTGGAAGGCCAGGGCCTCTCGTCGAAGCTCCAAGTCCTCCGGAGACCGGCCTTTAGTTGGGAGGTCCATCGCCTCTTCGGGCTTTGGCTGTCGGTCCGCGGCTCCCAGAAGAATCTGGGCTGCCTGTGGCCTTCCTGGCTCTGATTCAGGTCCCTGAGATCCGCTCGCAAGCTGGATCCACTCCTGGCTTGTCGCTGGAGCCTCCACGCCCGAGGAGGACAGAAGAGACGATCCGTGCGAACTCGGTAGGTACTCGCCTCTTGGTGTCTTGCAAGATTCACTTTCGGTCCTACCTTGCGCTTTGTCTTGCTACTGGCAGGGAGTTAATCGTCCTAACCTCCGCTGCTCGGCTCAAAGACGGAAGCATTCGCCATCCCGCCTACCTGGAGTCCGGTGCCTTCTCTTCGGCAGCACAGCTTCTCTGTAAGATGTACATGATGTGTTGGTCTGCTGCTCTTCAGTTGCCTCCAACATCTTGCAACGATGCTTTGTCGATCCCGGTCTTCCAACTCTGTCATCACCCGCACGATCATCCTGCACCATCATGCACAAGAACGGGGAGGTGTAAAGTGAAGAAGACGCACAGACTCGACGGTTGTGGTGTCGGCCCTGGACATGAACGCAGCGAATCAAGACTTCCAGCGCGATGCAACCGCCTGTGGAAGCATAGCGCCAATGCCAGAATCTAACAATCACTCATCCGCTTGACGTTTGGGGAATCCTCAATCGAAGCGCGGCCGGTCCCAACCCTTGATTACCCTGCGTCTTCTTCGTGTTCTTTTGACGTCCTTCGCTGGTCTGCGAAGACCGCATGCCGCAAGCAAGAGTTGCAAAGCACCGTGGCATTTTGTGGTGTTTTCGCCCTAACCAAATTCGTGAGGTCAAAACACGACATTCGCAGAAGTTATCTCCCATCCACCTGTTGCACAAAAGCTGTCAAACACGCGAAGCTGTAGCACCAAGCCCAAAGAGGTGGATCCGGTCTCTGATTCAGGAACACATATATTCTGGTTGCAAAGTGTTTGGCATTCCGCAGAACCCAGCAAAGATAAACTAGGAGGAGGCGGAGGATGAGGAGCGTCTAGAGGATAACGGCGGATGACAAGAAGTTGAGGAGCAGGAACGCACAGAATGCATGTAGGCAATGTAGGCATAAGCTCCAGCTCCTTCTCCAGTTTCATATTTAAGTCCGAGGCCCTAGCCGACACGATGGCCATGCGACGCCCTGTGCTGTTCGTCCTTGCCGTGGCGGTGCCCCGCAGCATCTTTCCATGCCTTCGATGTCCTTGAGCATCTGAGAGCCTTGGGCAATGGTCGATGCCGGCAGGCATGCGTCTGGCTGTTCTCTGCCAGCTCTCCTGAAGCTGAGGAGGTGAGGGCG